GGCGGCCTCGCGGCGCTGGAGCGGCCGGTGGTGGTTGTGCCTGACAGTGTGCCGCTGTTGCTCGGCTTCAGCCCGGAGGCCGCGGGTCCTTCTCTGGAAGCAGCTGGTTACTGCCCCCTTCGGCCCCGCTCCGCACGGAGCCCTCCGTTGGCTGTTGGTTTAAAATACATTAAAAAAAAAATAAAAATGGTTGGTGCCAGGAGTGCTCGCCTAGGTCAGATCGAGTGCTACAGTGCACTTGTTAGGATTTTGGCGTTGCGCAAGGTCAGTGGCAAGGAACCTCTGCTGGGGATGGAGTTTTTCCTCTTCGCTTTCTTCCCAGGGTGACACCATGCCAGGATTCCTTTGCTTCCCGAAATTTAGTGCGTAGAGCCAAGGAGCCCCACGCCGTCTTGGTGCCCTTCTGCTAGTCCCCAGTGCCGTTACAGAGGAGCAGGAGATACGCCCCGAGCATTGTGCTGCATGGCCGGTTCTGAGATGCGGTTTTGCTGTCGCTGTCAGCAAGAGCATTTGCTGGTGGTGGTAAGGAGAGCAGTAGTAAAGAACAGCGCACTAAGTGGCATTCAGAGCACTGCTCGACTACAAAACTTTTTATGGTTTTCAAGGCAAATTAATCCTTGGGAAAGCATCGGTATTTGCGGTTGCAGCTAGAATGAATTCATCCTTACGCTTTTTATGGTTTAGTATTTGGTGACCAGAAAGCGAATGGTGAGTTGGTCGCGGTCATTTCCATTCCTGTGAAGTAGCGCATCTGTTCATTCTAAAGGTGTCCAAAATACACCTAGTGGGCAGTGAGCTTTATGTGAACGTAAGTGTTTTCTGTCGTTATAAAGGGTCCTTTGCTGGCAGAGACTAAGAAAGTGTTTTCTGTCGTTGTTATAAAGGGTCCTTTGCTGGCAGAGACTAAGAGAACCACTTTAGAGAAGAAGCATTAAAAAAAAAAAAAGGACTGGCATGCTTTTTGCAGAAGGTAACAGATTCTTGCTCTCACCCTCTGCTGTGAAATTCACGGTCTTGTACTCGCCATGTGACCAAACTCTAATGTTTTTAGGTAGTGTCATGTGTATTTATGGAAAGAATTCTTTTGTCAGCTGTTTTGCATCCTTGAATGCCATTATTTTTCACTGCACTTGGGTATGTTTCTGTGTGATCTGTTTACTAGGTCTTCAAAATAATTAAAACATGATTAAAAGGGAATATAATTGGTTACGAACAGAGAGACAATTCACATCTAAACCTTAGCCTGCAGGGACCATTAAAAAATACAAAACTAAACAAAGAGCAAGTAATTTGGAAAACACATAGCTCGCAATCCCTAGAATTAAGCTGCTTGGAAACAATGAAAAAACAAGGGGGGGAAAGAGAGAGAGAGAAGCTGAAAAGAGGTGTAAAGGGTAAGCTAGCTTAAAACTGAAACCACAGACAAGGGCTTTTTACTTACAATGTTAAAAGGGATTTTTCCCACAATTTATTTTTATTTCACGCACATGATTTGAAGCCATTTCATTTAGTTAATTTGGACATCTCACTTCTTTCAGCTTCTGGACAGGTAAACATTATTTCTAATGCTGACATCTAGAAACTAGGAGGCCCAAACTTTTTGTTCTCTTCTCAACAGTAATGTAGGGGCTAAAACCCCTGTCCTTTATAATACCAGCTGCTTCTAAAACCTGTTTTTAGAGCAGTCACAAAGCTCTTTAAGTATCTTCACACTGAACTGGAGGTACTATTGGTCTCTGCGGGTAGCAGAGACAGCGTGCTAAAAACCTGAAGAGGGTTCAACAAGGTTGAGATCCACAGCATCTTGAGAA